AGTGAAATGCTTTCTGCTTTCCTCATTGTAGTTTCATGTTCTCAGCTCCACTCATCTTTGGAAGAGGCATTTGTTTGTTGGTTTTGTTTGTTTGTTGCTCTTGTTGGCTTTACATAGTTTTTGTTTCAAGAAAATTATATCACAGTTGACAGGCATATGGACAATTTAACAGCCTTATACTGAAAAAATAAAAAAATGTCTACTTATGTCTATGAATGTATTAACTGTGATTTCTATAGAAGGGTTTGTATTGCATAGATAGCCCTGCTTGCAGCAACTGTAATATTTACTGTAGCACAAGCAAACAAATATCCAGGCTTGTGAGAGCTACTGTCAGACTGCTCTTGCTCAAGAAAGACACTAATTGGTCATAAACAGTAATAGGTGACATGTCATTGTATTATAATTCACTGTCAACATTCTCTTTAGCACTAGAAAATGACATGTTGCTTACGTAATGATTTACATTACATAGCATGCACACAACTGAGATTTAAATAGTATTTGGCAAATTGTCGTATTATATTTTAGTCTTATGTTTGTAAAACATTCCCAGAGCCTAGAAAACAGAGTTTTATTTTAACACAAGCATATTCACACTGAGCTACACAATGTGTAACAGTGGCCTTGGCTCAGGGGCAGAGTGGGTTAATCCCTGATTACAGGTTGGCGGTTCGAATTCCGTCCTCTCCACTCTACATGTCGAAGTGTCCTTGGGCAAGACACTGAACCCCAAGTTGCTCCTGGTGGCCAGGCCAATGCTTTGCACAGCAGCTCTGCTGCTATCACTCTGTGTGTGAATTGGGAAATCTGTAACGCGCTTTGTCCAGGTAAGGTAGAAAAGTGCTATGTAAGTGCAGACCATTTACAATACATTATGACTCTTTTTATTATTATAACTTGATCCACTGGGTCCAATATCAGCTTGAAAGTCTAATTAAGCCATAGCACATTTTTTATTTTACCTCATTCATGTGCTTATGAAGTCAACTGGAAGTCAGCCAGCTTGCCTGCTGGGAGTCTTACCCTGACACAAGTGTGCAGACTTTATGGGCCCAAAAACTTGGAAGCATGAGGAACATCTTGGTAAATTTTATGGCTGAAATCTGAAACCATGAATGAAGATTTCTTCTGGGAGGAATAGACTGGAAGCTGTCTTGTAATTTGTTATCCACTTCTCTTTATCCATGATTCAATTCCTATAACACATCTAAGGTGTAGACATGGTGTTAGCTTTGGCCTTTGGTCTTTTAGCACAGTATTATGTATAGTCATTGAGCGCATATTCAAAGCCTGTTTTATCAAATTCTTATCTTTAAATGTCATGCATCATGGCTGCCACACCCCTCAAGTGCTCATCTGGAGTTTCAGCTATGTGTCATCAGAAACTTCAAAGTGAAATTCAATAGGTGTTCCAGATCCAAGTGGCTGAAGAACTTTAGGTTCTGGCTCAGACTTCTGCCTTTTCACTGGATAGAGAATAAATTAATTCCTTTTTCTCAGCAACTACAATGGGTATATTGAAAAGAAACTGAAAACAGAGAGTCATCCTATTGTGCGAGCCACTGGGCACTTTACCTCCTAGAGTTGAGCGAAGCCCCAATCAGGCAGACCACACATCTTCAGTCCTTGAAAAGAGGATGAATATGTGGCTCCACATGAAGCATCAACTGTGTAAATATTTGTAAAATAACATTTTGTTTTTCATAGTTTTTTGTTGTTCACCTGACAGAAGAAAAAGAATCATGAGGACCTTGCTCTCCTTCACCATCAGTGCAAAGATGGAGCTTTTCTCACTCCACATCTTTGGAGCATACAGTACATGATGTTTTAGTGGTTTCCTACCCTGCAGGGTGTTGACCTTGTCAGTGGTATTTCAGGCTCTGGGGACTTCACTCACTTGGCTGCCAGCACCTGCAGGTAGATGGAGGGAGGGGTTGTCATGGAAACAAGCCGCTGGGATGGGACATGGTGCAGGTTTCAGCATAGGCTTTGAAAAGCTTTCATTGATATCTGTCCCAATGAGTTGATTTCCAGTCTGTTACTAGGCTACTCACTGAGTCGGTATAAAGGCTCGTCCATTCTGCACAGATAAAAGGACGGAAAGGCATTTTTCAAAGTAGCAGTTTAAATGTGCAGGTTTAACAGATACAAGACTGCTGCTGCTAAGCCCTCCTTCCGCCAATCATTTTCAGAACAGGACACGGGTGTCCCTAAAGGGTTAGTGACATTCACTGACATTTTTCCTTCATCTCCTGATGTCTGTGTACATGAAGGAAAGCAGCAGTATAGGGAGCATTTTATCTATTTCATCCTCATCATTTCCTGTAATGCACGCAAAGCCAAAGTGGTTACTGGCAGTAATATTTTATTTAACTATTTTGTATGTCTGAGTATTTTTGAAATCAGACTATAATCTACTATAGCTTTAAGAAGTTATTAAAATGTTTTAAATGTTTAGTGTATTTGTCAACTATTATAAGCATCTATAACTAGTGTGTCCTTAGAAATAAAACGACAACGACACTTTATCAGCTGCATTAGTGGATGGAGTTTGCTCAGTTGTCATGACTTGGTAAGTATTTATGAATAAGTATTAACATAAAAAAATGTATGTGCTACATTTAACATTGTTGAAATGAATTGCTTTAACAGTTATCCAAGTTGTCTGTTCTGTCATGACATATATTTAGTTCACCACACGTTGTTTCATTTTCCGAGTCAATAATTCAATGCATTCATGTTTATTTGCAGTGAGACTGGGATGAATTTAATGTTTAAAGACCTCATAGAGTCTTATCATCCCAGCAGAACACTTTGCTGTCAGAGTGCAGGTCTACTTGTGGTTCCTAGAGTCCATAGAAGTAGAATGGGAGGCAGAGCCTTTAGGTACGTATCAAGTTCCTCTCCTGTGGAACCAGCTCCCAGTCTCAGTTTGAGAGCAGGCCTCTCTACCTTTAAGATTAGACTTAAGACTTTCCTTTTTGATAAAGCTTATAATTGGGGCTGGATCAGGTGACCCTGAGCCTTCCCTTAGTTATGCTACTGGGGGGGCCCATGATGCTCTGAGCTCCTCTCCTCTCCATGCATCTATATGCCAGCATTACATGTCACTAACTTCATGTCTCCTCTCTCCCATAGTGTGTCCTCTCACTCACCCTGTACCTTTCTGCAGGTTGCCCTGGCTCTGGAGCTCTATGTTTCTGATGAGCAGTGACCGGCCACATCACTGAATTGAATAGAATAACTATATTCTTGTATAGTTATTAAAAATAGATTCATAAACATTTTAAACATGCCCTTATACACTGCCCAGCCACGTTATTAATCACACCTGTACAATTGTATGAAATTCAAGGCAACACTTCCACCATAACATCTGTTTATGAAACTATAACAAACAAATAATTGCTACATTTCTGATAATTTCACCAAAAACTGCAACATTTTGAGTTTCATAAACAGAGGCTATGGTGGAAGTGTTGCCTTGAAGTGCATATAATTATACAGGTGTAATTAATAAAGTTGCCAGGCAGTGTATCTGCTTATAGCTATATTCTAGGGTGTTATACAAAAAAATTATGAAGGGTTTATACTGTTTATAAATGCTAAACATGGGATTCTAACAAATTTTTGTAAAACTGTAAATTTATTCTAAATTATATGCAAATTATCATTTTAAATTTATTCATCAAGGTGGTGTTTCTTTTATACAGAGATATAAAACCCATATAAAGTCAAACAAGCTAAGGCTACCACAGTACTCTAACATATGCTCAAATTTGAGTGTCTATAAAACTTTAACCTCAATAAAAACAATCATTAATGCCATGAAAACAGCTGCTGCCACAAAGGCAACATTTCAGATGTTTGATGAACTGTTCATTGTTTCCTCTACAATGAAGAATATTTGTCTCCATTCCAGCAATAATTGAGGAGAAAAGGGGCAGAGAGAGCACACAGGAGAACACGCATGTTGTCAGGGGAGACTAGACAGAGATTGTTTGACTGCACCACAAAAGTCCAAAGCTGTCAGTCAACATCAGAAATAAACCAGGCATCTGGGCTCCCACTGGGGATCCACATTTCTAGACAGTGAGCCACTGAGATTGGAATTTGCATTATGGTAGAGTTATGGAACTTACAGAGACACCAATGGGCTGCAAGTAACTCAGCATCTTACGGTCTCAATAGTTTTTGCGGAGAGCAGACAGATGTTTCACGACATTTTTATGTCAGACAAAACAAGCTATCTGTAATAAAAATGAAAATCCAACAGGGCAGGATGGTGAATTATTTGCAGTTTGAGATGTGCTGTAAATTACATCCTACATGGAGTACAAAATGCTGAGAATATAAAACATTTGGATGATTATAGCAGGGTTGTTGATGCCAAATAATGTTGCAGTCTGTACTTGTTGTAACTGTCCATTAGCCATAATCACCATCTCCTTTGATCGTCTCAGCTGCATTACACTCCCTGTGTTGTGCTGGATATGCAGATGTACGGCTTGTATAATAAAACAGAAATGGAAAAGCAAACAAAAAACACTTGCTGTGGAAATCATGGTTTAAAAAATATGAGGAAAGAAGATTTTATTTAACTAGTTCCTCAATAAAAACAACGTCTGTTTGTGTAAGCCACAACATAACCAGTGATTGTAGACTTATCCTAGCAAAATAAGAAAAGAAATATTTCAGAAATTTTAAAAGCCTTACATCTATTTACCTAGTTTATAACATTCATATTTCTATTGCTGGTTTACAGTAGTTGTTCAGCAAACGTAATGTCTAAATTAAACATACATTAAACATGTTAATGTACAAAAAGTAATTTAGCTGATACAACATTACAGAAGAAGTGCTAACATCATTCAATAGACAGTATATCAATTCTAAATGTACCTTATCAGCTTATATTTGAGTTGATAGACAAATCAGTATATATATATATATATATATATATATATATTTCAGTGCACAATAGTCAACAGTGAAACTCTTTTACAAGAGAAGGAAAAGTTGAAATCTCCAAGAGCTCTGTCACACACACACACTGAATCCATGACAATACTCATGCTGTGTTCATCAAAATGTACTAAAAATAAAGCACAGTGACTACTAAGTCCAGGAAGCTAAACAAAGCTGCCCTACTATGTTTCAAAATGGGCAAGAGGTTAAAAAAAAAAAAGCATTATGCTAAACTAAAGATCTAAAAAGCATTTGCTTCAGAGAGAAAGTCTGAGAGGATCAATGAAATCAAAAGGAAACATGAAGGAAAAAAATGACTTAGTTTACTTTTACACAAAGAAGCTAATATGTATATTTGTGCTCCTGAAATAAAAGTGTCTCTGTCACTCACTGGACAGTTAGTAGCTTTCACCACATGTAATAGCTGCGTGTGGTGTCCACCTGGCTGGGTTTGGTCTCAGAAGAACCCTCCTTCTCCTTGTCACTGTCCGCCTCCCATAAGTTGATAAGAGGAGGATACAACTCGTTTAGTGGTATTGACGAGGTTTTCTGCATGTACTTTTTTAGAGAGTGGTGATAGTTTTTCCTCTTCCATCTCTTTGCAATATACACAGCCAAAGAGGCCAGGCTGATGATTGCAAACATTGTTCCCATGACTGCTGTGAGAGCAGTGTTGGTCCCTTGGTCAGATATTTCCACAGTGAAGGTTGCTTGCTTAGTTGTCACATTCACACATGACTTCTGTGTTTGTTGGTGGATGTTGGAGACGGTGAGGCACACCTCATACTCAGTAGCTGGTTGTAAATGTGTAAGGTTGTACTCATGGACATCCACAGGTACCCTGGCAGTGTAAGTAATATGTGGGTTGTCTATTTTCATGGTGGCAGATGACCACTTCAGGTTAGAGGTCATTACATTGGAGTTGATCTTCCATGAGACCAGGATTGAGTGAGATTCTGTCTGTTTGACGTAGATCTTCATAAGCTGGGAGCTGTCTAACAGAGTGCCGTTCACTCGTATAACTGTCACTCTTGTGTCAGCTCCCTCTGAGTTTTGAGCCACACAGGTATATCTGCCAGAGTCTTCTACTTGCACGTGAGAAATTCTCAGTGTGCCTTCACTGCTAAGGCTGTACTTGTCGGACAGTGTATCCATCATTACCTTGTTCCCCATCGGTGTCACCCAGTAGATTTCAGGCTCAGGCTGGGACAGCGCCCTGCAGTCCAAGTCCACTATCATGCCAATGTCCAAATTAAGGTGGCTGGGGAAGGTATCATGTGAAATCATAGGCAGGCACTGGTTTGCTAAGTTTTTCTGCAGCACCTCCCGCACATGCATACCCCTGGCCTCTGGTGGCATGGCACAAAACATGGACAGAGGTTCCATAAAACGAACAGTGGTTTTGTTAGAACTCATCCACTGGATGACGCAGTCACAGCGAAGAGGGTTGCTGTGAATGCTGATCTCACGCAAGTTGGGGAGGGAGTCCACTGTGGACTGATAGAGAGCATTCAGGGCGTTGCTGTTTAGCATTAGACTCTCCAAGGCTGGGACATCGCGAAAGGCCTGACGGTTAATGTAGGAGAATCTGGGATTGTTTGTAGCCTCCAGCTTAGTGAGCTCAGGAAGGTTGTCCAAAGCATAACGGTCAATAGAAACAAGCTCTACCATGTTGTTTATACCCAGCTCCTTCAGTCTCAGCATGTTCTTGAAATCTCCTTCCTGAATCTTGTGCACTGGATTTTTGTTTAAATCCAAGAACTTGAGGTTAGGTAGCTTCTGAAGGGCTCTCTGAGGAACTTGGACCAGCTTATTGTCATAGAAAGAAAGGCTCTCAAGATTGTCAAGTCCCACAAAGGCATTTCCAGGAATGTCTGTCAAATCCATCCCAGCAAGAACCAGGCTTCTCAGGTTGCCTAGTGGCTTGAAGTTAAAATCCATAATTCCAACAACAGGGTTCTCTCCAATCATGAGGATCTCCAGATTGGGTGTAGATTCAAACCACTGACTGTTAATGGTCTTGAGCTTGTTGGAGTTGAGGTGAAGTCTGAGCAAGTTGTGGAGCCCAGAGAAGGCATTGGTGGAAATGGTGTTAATCTGATTGTGATTGATGTAGAGCTCCTGCAGGTTGCTGAGGTCCTGCAGACAATAATCGGGCATTTCTGTAATCTGGTTCTCCTCCAGATGAAGTGTGGTGAGCTGAGACATATTGGTGAGGCCAACATCCCGAATGCTACTGAAATTGTTCTGGGACAAGTCCAGTTCAGTCAGGTTGAAGAGCTGCTCCAGCTCCTCACTGGTCCTGGCAATGTAATTGCTCTGTAGGAGGAGAACCTGAGTGTCACTGGAGAGGTTCCCCGGAATGCGTGTTAAGTGAAGGTCATTGCAGTCCACAGTGATAGCTTCCCTGTAGGTGGACTGTGGTGTAAACCAGGGTCGGATCTCACACACACACAGCTGCGGACACTCGTTGCTTTGAGCAAAAGATAGCCCTATTGATACCAGGATCAAGCCAGCAAATGCCTGGCCTAAAAGAAGGCATTCTAACCTCCATCTAGCCATACTGGGGAGAGACAGGAGGATGGCCCAGTGACTTTGGGAAAGGATGTGTTACAGTCATCAACCAGATTTTCCAATGATTAGGTCTTTCAGTCCACTGAAATGATCAGTTCAAGCCAAAGATAGAATTTTACGGCAGGATCTTGGAGCTGCAGGATAATCTGTAAAAGTAAGACAAAAAATGTCATTATACAGAAAACAGTCTCTACTTCAGGTTTATAATGAAAATAGTACATAAAACCTCATTATTAGCCTTGTTAGCAGCATAGCTCCAGTGATGCAAATGTTGGTTTGTTGGCCTGTTTATCATTCAGTCTGTCAGCAAGTCTGTGCACTACTTTGAATCAAAGATATTTTGGCAAATACTGCATGACTAGCCATTAAATTTGGTGTAGACATTCATGTTCCCCAGAGGATGAATCCTAATGATCTTGGTGGTCCCCCAACTCTTCCTATAATGCCACCTTCAGTTTGGTTCATTTAGTGAAATATCTAAACAACATTTGCATAGATTATCATGAAATTTGGTACAGGTGTCCATGTTGCCAAGATGAATCCTAAGCACTTGGTGATTCCTTGCCACAGATTTTGTACAGACATTCACAGTTACAAGAAGATAAATCCTTATGACTTTAGTGATCCCTGACCTTTCCTCTAGAGCCAGCATGCAGTTGACATGAAGCCTTTATTGGACAGATTGTATGAAATTGGGTGCCACCATCAAGTTACATTTTTAATACCTTTTGACCTAAAACCCACAAAATTGATGACATTCCCTGCCTCTGCTGTGTTTTATGTTTAGTGCTAATTAGCAAATGCAAAAACATTAAACTGCTGTGTACAGCCTCACAGACCAGAGGCTGTAGATTCTTACTGTAGATAACAGTTACTGAATTATTACACGAACTTTCATGTTTCTTTTAAATGTAACAATTACTTCAGACAACAGACTAAGAACAACAACTGCTTCTCTACTGTTCTTTTGAGATTGCAAGTTATGTGCTGTATAAACAGTTTTGAGAAAATGCAAGTTCAGCTCATTACAATGCATGCACAAAACACTGCTCTGAACTACTTGGAAACAGACCAAATTCCACTGAGGACTTTCATCTATCCAACAAGCCCATGAGGACTCGATCATTAGTTTCATCAAACATCAATAAACACTATAAGATATCAGTGTGTCCCACCCCTCAAAGAAAAAAAAAAGATGCAAATCTTCATTTTTAATGCAACATCTACATTTAGGGCAAATATGAAAAAAAAACAGTAGGCTAAGGATTTTTCCAGGATTATTTGGAAGAGAAAAAAGAGCAGCAATCTAACTCTAAGGACAATTGTGATTACAAATAGGGATTTGAGGAGAGATTTGTGAGATGATGAGAATGAGACATGCTTGCTTCAGCTCCTGAGAGGTGCAATGGGCATCTGCTAGCGCATATGGCCGTAACACTTACTGCACTGATTTGGAAGACAAAGCATTATTTCTGGCAAAGAATAGCAAGTTTTTCCTCAATGCCATTGCCAAATTTTAACACCCCCCCCCCCCAAAATAAAATTTGGTACGGATATTCTTGTTCCCCTTAAGTTGACTTATAATAACTTTGCTGATCCTGGAATAATGCTGAAATAACTGCCAAACTAATGAGCTTCCCATGAGCCTGAACTTGTGTTTAGTGGTAATTATCAAATATTAGCATGCTAATGTGCTGATCCAGGATGATGAACATGATAAAAAATTATATTTGCTAAATATAAGCATATTGGTATTGTCAATACAGGTATACTGTCAGCGTTAGCACAGCATTGTAAAGTACAGTCACACGGAGCCGCTATCATGGCTGTAGTTTGATTATTCAGTGTAGGGTACACCTGCCTTTTACAGTTCCTTTTGTTTTATCTACTGTATCAGATGTGTGTCCAACTCAACAGTTCTGTTCCCATGTAAATTCTCTATATAGACATGCTGTATCTATGGAAAGGTTCTATCCTGCACTATTCCTTACTGACAGGATTAAAGGACTTTCAGACAGGACATAGTATGCGCTGCGCTCACAAAGGGGGGTGGGCGCAACACACTGCGCACATGTACAAATCGCACACATTAGGCGCCAGTTGCTAGGTGACCAAAAAAGCTTTCCAGGAGGTGGTTAGCAGATATTAACTAGTTTTTCGAGCAGCTGACTTGGATGCACGATGTATCTACCTACATGTTAGCAAAAAATGTCTGGCTTTAGTTGTACTGATGAGGAGGAGCAGATGAGCTGCAACAAAAAAGAAGAGGGTATGGGTCTGCCAAATCAGCTTCTCCTCCATTTTCTTTGTGGTCTCTCAGGTTCCCTGCAATACGCCCAAATTGACCTTTTTTATCTTCAACTCAGCGCGCAGGGACAGCACCTGTGTCCTTGCGCTGCACTGAGCACAGCGTAGATACATTCTTGCACCACACAACACATAGAAATTACTGGGTTCGATAGCTGAGTGCAGCACTCACTGCATCTTGTCTGAAAGCCCCTTTAGTTTGTCAGAACTTCTTTAACAAGCCCACAGATTACCAGTATCCCACAACGCTTGAGGGCAGAAACACACCAGGCCAATGGTCGGCTGTGGGCCACCACTGAGCCATCAGTGAGCGTCTGTGGGGGCTCATCCCCCTGGTGTGTCCTGTATCGTTGGCACTAGTTAGTCCCTGTTGGCTGCTTTTCAGCCGATTTTTCATGTTGAATCAGAGTTGGCGATCTGGCCTCATAAGTGAGAGAGAGAGACCACTCTGATTGGCTGTTGAACTTAGCAAATCAATGTACAAGAAGAGAATGGTCTGGGAAAAAACGCTTCAGCCTGTCACTGTAAATCCATGATTTCACCCATTTAGTGCAATTTCTCCTTGCTTTTTGCCTCCACAACCTCGTGTCTTCTTCCACACCCAAAAGACCAAGGCCAGAGAATGCCAGCGCCATTTGTAACTTCTTATCAGATATATTCTCGATTAGAAGCAGCTATAAACAGCAGATGTTTTGAATGAGAGGTGTTTTGTTTATAGCTTATACTTCCACAGTCTAGCTCTGCTTCTTTCCCTTTCTGAATAAAGAAATGCAGATACCACCAGCTGCTGGTAGGGGGAGGAGAACATACATGTTAGTCAGTCTTTGGCTGTAGTCTGTGCAGTGTGTTCAATTGTCAACCCAACTGGCCCAGACAAAGCCGACGTGAGGCAATGCACTGGTCGGCCTTTGTCGCTGGTTGTTCTTTCACATCAGCTTGGTGTGTCTCTACTCTAAGAAATCCCATTACTCCATTAGATCTGTTTACTAAAGCAGGCATCTCACCCAGCACAGAGCCATACAGCAGCACCACAGCGCCACAGCCTTCTCCACCACACAGTTTTATGGTCAATACCACCCTAAGAAGATGACTCTTAAGAGGATTTCAAACAAGAGAGCTGACTAACTGATGTAAATGCAAACTGCCTGGCAACAGCACCAGGGAGACAGAAACATATCTATGCTCCTCCTATATTGGGAATTCCCTGAGGGACAGGGTGGAGCATGGGTTAAACAAGGACTGTGAAGTATCTTGTCTTCAAGCTGAAGCGCTGTATATTGTAATGATTGCTGTGCCAGTCAGGATTAGTAGATGGAGAAACAGGAGTGGAGATTAGGGGAATAGTGTAGTGGATTCAGACCCAGAAGAAAGAAACGGGTCACTTAACACTTTAATTAAAGGCAACATCAGTGGAATCTAAGACATATACAGCGTAGACCTAGAGAATGGCTAATGCATGGGTAATCTCATTATAAAAATAAATGCTTGAGTGCTTGTTTGTGATAAAATATTTGGTCCTGTTGCAAAACTTAAAGCAATTAGATTTCATTATCATATTGATTCAAATGTGACATAGAATACAAACGCTGATATATTGTATTTGTTTGAATATTTTTTAGAGTTTTGTATCCATACTGCTGAGCCACTGTCATTAATCAATTACAATGACCTTCATACAAAGACTTCTGACATTGTTGTCTCAAAAATGTGGTGTTGTTTTATCCAAACCTTGGGTTGCACTGATACATTTTCTAAGACGACTAAAATCAAACTAAATGTAGTTTCAGCAAGTATATAATTGACAAAACTTTGTAAATGTACAATGGCAGATTGAAAGCTTTAATTAAAAATAAATTCAGTGAATAAATGCAGTTGTGTCCCTTTGGCTCATTCTTATATGGGTAGAATCAGACTTGTACCTCTAAAATGTAATATTAGTTTTGGACATAATCGGTCCATACATGTTATTAAAAGATTATGAAAAAATAATTTGCAAGAAGATCAATTTCACAAAGTCCCTTTCTCAGTTACTGATTAATTTTCTGCAGCAATCACTGTCTGTGACTTATATCACTGATGCCAATTAACAATACGTCATTAATGGAGAAAAAACTGATTACTCAAGGTGGTGTTAACATACAACTGATTTCCTGTGGTTTGTCAAAATGCATCATGCTCATCTCATGCTGCTCTGAAAGTCTGTGGGAGTGTCGGGTGAAAACACTGAAACCACGAATACTCCTGAACTCAAAAATGACGAACAACTGTTTAACGGTCTAACTCCACAATTTAGCACTACACAGTTCTCAGTCTTTTCATGCAACTATTTTCTGACATGTATAATGTGTTTAGAAACAAATCACTGATCTTGCTTTAGCCTGACTTTAAAGACAGAATTTGAGTAAGTAATTTAAACTCTGTGTGGCCTGTACAGTCCTCGTCTAACACCAGCTGCCCATAGTTTAGTGGACAGACTCTTCTTAATAATCTAGAGACCTCACTGTGAAGATTTGTTACTGACAACTGATTTCTACTGATGTATGACCCCCTATCATCTACAGAAATGCTTCCAAACCTTTTCTGTTTGTGACTCATTAAAGTAAAAGGGGTCAGTCTAGTTAATTCAACCAAAGTATGACTTTTTTTCTTTGCCTGGTTGTTTTAACAGTATATATAAATAATATTATCCATTAACTCACCAATAAAAAACTAACAAAATCTAAGGCATGCTAATGAGAAGACCAAAAAAAAAACTCTTTGGTAGATAAGAATGAAAATAAAACAGATTCTCTCATTTGTTTGCAGTTTTTGTGAAACACTATCACTGTAAGAAAGCTAT